TGTTTGTTGGACCATGCTAACGACTTTACAATAATTGTATTTTATTATTATTATTATTATTACTGATTAAAACTGTAAAATTTAAGAGAAGATTTTTAATCAATCAAATCTAAAAATGTGGTACAAATATTGTACTTTAGGTCTGGTTTCACTAAACTTGTCATAAAACCAGACAAGAGGAGAAAGATCAGTTTAGCAAGCTTCGGTGCAAACAGAAAACAAGTGTTACTCTGCCCCCTTGTGGCCACGATGGAAATATCAAGTTACCAAGAAAAGTAAAGGGTTCATTTCCTGTTAGTAACTTAAGCATGTTTGGTTGGAGTTGAGACCTTTTGTTGATTTAAGACTTGTTTGGATCTCTTTATAACTAGTAAACTATAAACATATTAAAGTAAAAAATAAACAATAAAAAATGGTCGTAAAGGTAACAGACGCCCTCTAGCGGACATATGAATATTACATAAACCACAAAAAACTGTCATGGCGGCTACCGCCAGGCTGACTGGTCGCCGGTTAGTTTAAATTTAACAGAGGTGCTTTTATTAGATCAAGAGCGAAATGGCTTGAGGAAGGTGAACGCAATACCGCATACTTTTGTGGACTTGAAAAAAGACGACAGGAGAGGAATTTAATTAATTCACTTATCATCAACAATGTAGAATGCACGGATACCAAAATTATTGCTGAAGAAGTTTATACATTTTATAAAGACCTCTATTCATCATCTAGTGGCAATGAATCAAACCTATTGGATAATATTACACATCTCATCCCAAAAATCAGTCAGGAATTTAAAATGATATGTGATGCAGAGATTGAGATTTTTGAAGTAGAGGCAGCAGTCAAACAACTTTCCGTTGGGAAATCCCCTGGTCAAGATGGTCTGACATCTGACTTTTATAAACATTTTTGGAATAATATTAAAGATCAAACAAGGACTCATCTCTTTGATTCTGAAGAATGGCAAAGATAAAAAAAATTCTAAGCAATCTAAGACCAATTACGCTCCTTAATGTGGACTACAAAATACTCGCTCATGTTGTGGCTAATAGGCTCAAAGAAGGTATTTTACAAATCATCAGCGATTCCCAATCTGGGTTTATCAGGGGTCGCTCCACACATAACAACATTAGGTTGGTCCTAGATTTGTTAGATTACAGGGACACAATTGAGAATGATGGCTTTGTTCTTTTTTTGGATTTCTGCAAAGCCTTTGACCGAGTCAACCATTCCTTCATGTTAGACACGTTACACCATTTTGGCTTTGGAACAAAGTTGTGTGAAATTGTTCAAACCTTATACAGGGATATTAATAGTACTGTACTGTTGCCATCTGGAACCTGCAAACGTTTTAACATTGAAAGAGGCATCCGACGGGTGTCCAGCCTCCCCTCTTCTTTTTATCATGGTCGTGGAAATTCTCAGCATCATGATTAAGAATAGTCAGATAGAGAAATTAGATGTTTTTGGTAATTCGTTAGCTATAATTCAACTGGCAGACGATACTACGCTCTTCCTTAAAAATAAGGAACAGATCCCAATTGCTTTACAAGTAGTTAGTTGTTTTTCAGAAGCCTCAGACCTTTATTTAAACATAGATAAATGTGAATTAATGGCCATTCATAATCATCCTCAAATAACTGCATGGCATACCTGTTAAAGATCAAGTCAAGTATTTGTGGATTACAATCTCAAAAAACTTAGAAACGAGAGAAAAATGTAATTTTGAGAGCTTAATTAAAAAGAGTAAAAGTATTTTAAACATATGGCTACAAAGAGATCTCTCAATTTTTGGTAGATTACTTCTATCCAAGATGGAAGTATTGTCAAGAATTATCTATCCGGCTTATTCTCTAAGAATTCCTCAAAATATTATTAAAGAAATTAACCAAAACAATTTTAACTTTATATGGAAAAACAGACATCATTATATAAGAAGGAATGACATCATCAAATCAATAGAGGAAGGGGGTCTCAATGCAATCGATTTTGATATAATGAATGGTGCACTTAAGTTAAAATGGCTACAAAATTTTATAAAGAATATAAATAAGTTGTGGTTTAATCTTCCTGCTAAAATTTTCTCCAGTGTAGGCGTAATCCAATTGCTTCTTCAATGTGACTTTGAATTATCCAAACTCCCTATTAAGTTATCCAAATTTCACGAGCAAGTTCTACAATATTGGAAATTAATGTATACACATAACTTCACACCGCACAACACGCCAATATGGAACAACCGTTATATCCTGATTAAAAGGAAATCTTTTTTTTTTAATGATTGACATCTCCATGGAGTATGGTCCATTTTGCATTTGATGGACCAGAATGGAGAATTTCTTAATTTTACGGCTTTCAATCGCAAATTTAACCTAACTTGTTCTTCTAAGCAATATGCCGAGGTAATCAAGGCAATCCCACCAGCTATATATGCTAATTTGAAAGGCACTTTGTTGTACTCTCGCCTTATTCCAATAATGCCTCCTTTAACAATTAAGAACTGTTCTTTTGTGGACAGGAACTGCAATAATAAAATCCTTAGATGTTGGCTCACTGACGTCCTCTTTCCCTTACCTCTTAGAAGACAGGAATTAGTACGTCAATTTAGTAATTCTGATGTTAAAAACATTAGATGCAACTATCTCAAATTCTCAATCCCTCCTAAAGCCAAGGAAGTTCATTTTAAAACTATAAACAGTATTTATCCTTGCAAAGATTTCTTGCAGTCTAAATTTAATATTGGAGAGAACGACTGTGCCTTTTGCACTTCTAATATAGAAACTGAGATACATTTATTCTTCACATGCATCTTTACCAAATGTTTCTGGGATAGTTTTCACTCGTGGTTAACGCATAACAATTTCATTATACGCTCCTTATCTTTTTCTGACATCAAGTATGGTATTATTTTGGAAAATAAAATGCAGCAATTCACTGTCAATGATTTGATTATTTTCGCTAAATTCTTAATACACAAATGTAAATTTGGCAATATCAAACCGATCTTTATTGTTTTTTTGAAAGAACTTGCATACTTTATGGATTCTCTTAAATTATGTAGTTCCAAGAAAGCCATTTGGCTCTATAACAATTTGGTGAATGTTTCCTTTACCCCTAATGTTGTTTGATGTAATATATAATTTTTTTTTTGGTTATGATTTCTGCAGGTTGATATTGAGCTAGGTTAATATTATTGTTTCTGTTTGTACACCTGCTTTTTTTTTGTTTTGTCATGCTCAGAATTCAACTGTAAATACTGATTCTTATGTAAGCCTGTAAGCTTCATTGGTTAAATAAAACTTGTTTAAAAAAAGTTTATATTTAACTATATTTAAACAGCTTGTTTCCTGGTTTAATATCGAGTACAATTACGGAAAGAACAGCGAAAGTAATCAGCAAGGTCTAAAAAAAACAAGTAGAAAAATATTTATTTGTTGTGTTCAAAAAGCTTTTGGTTTTTATTAAGTTTTGAAATCGCTAATTGTAAAATATGTAAACTACCATATGTATTTACATCTTAAAGATTAACAGAAATATATTTGATCGTTTTCCACTGTTTTTACAATTTTTTTTATCAGCTCCAACAAATTGAAACAAGGAGCTGTGCCGCTGAATGTCCACCAGATGGCGCCGTTTCACCGTCTAGTAAAGAAAAGCAGACCCTTTCAGCCAGTGGAGACAAAAAATCCCTTCAGGACAATGAAGAGCAGTAGAAACTAATGTCGAGGAAAAAGCTAAAGCTAGCTTCTGTGTGACGAAGATGAGTCTAACACTCTAGGCTCGTGATTTAAGACTTGTTTGGGTAACTTAAAACTAGTAAACTATAAACATTAAAGTAAAATATAAACAATAAAAAATGGTCGTAAAGGTAACAGACGCCCTCTAGCGGACAACTGAATATTACATAAACAACAAAAAAACTGTCATGGCGGCTACCTCCAGGCTGACTGGTCACCGGTTAGTTTATATTTAACTACTTTATTTAAACAGCTTGTTTCATGGTTTAATATCGAGTCCAATTACGGAAAAAACAGCGAAAGTAATCAACAAGGTCTAAAAAAAACAAGTAGAAAAATATTAGTTTATTTGTTGTGTTCAAAAAGCTTTTGGTTTTTATTACGTTTTGAAATCGCTAATTGTAAAATATGTAAACTACCATATGTATTTACATCTTAAAGATTAACAGAAATATATTTGATCGTTTTCCACTGTTTTTACAATTTATTTATTTATCAGCTCCAACAAATTGAAACGACGAGGAGCAGTGCCGCTGGATGTCCACCAGATGGCGCCTTTTCACCGTCTAGTAAAGGTAAGCAGACCCTTTCAGCCAGTGGAGACATAAAAATCCCTTCAGGACAATGAAGAGCAGTAGAAACTAATGTCGAGGAAAAAGCTAAAGCTAGCTTCTGTGTGATGTGAGTCTAACACTCTAGGCTCATGGAAATTACACATTACAAATTCTTTAAAGTACATTTTCTTAAATTGACCCAAATTTAGTCAGAAGTTTTGATAAACTCAAAATAGCAACACTTAAAATTGTATCACTTCCACATTAAGTGTTAATAAAAACAAGAGTCAAGCAGCTCTTTTTAAAAAGATGATATATTACAGAAACACGATTTTAAAATTACTTACAGACGTAAAATACTTTTTTCTTCAGCACCATGTTTGTGTTGAAATGTCTTCAACACAATGAAAACAAATAGTTGAGGTCATTTTCTTTAAGGGACAGATTCTTTATGTTCTGACTGTCCCACCAGTTAATTATATAAAAAATTAAAACAAATAAAACTAAAACGGCCCCGTAGAACCAGAAATCACTTTTCACTCAGTCCCTGCTGACGGATGTTCATCTCCACCGTGTCACTGCCCTTCTCTCACCCTCACTCCTCTCTAAATATTAAAATAATTAAGATTTTATTTAATAAATGTAGTTCGGTTTCACTAAACACAGGAACAAACCTGTTGAGTCAAACTGCAGCAAGAAAACAGGAATGTGAGAAGTGGAGTCACCGTTTAATCATGGCAGTGGAAACAGCACAGTACAGATGAAACTAGATAAGGGAGGGATTACAGTTTTAGTCACGGCCAGATTCTTTGGTTGGTGGAGGTGTGAACAGAAGCATCACAGCTGTGCAGTCGAGCTGCATCAAATAAATACAACTGAAAGTCACGTCTGCTAGAAATAGTCCTCGGTTCTTATTTTAATCTCAAAGCACCCAGTTGGTTTTAAATAAATACAATAGAATATCACTATTTCTGTACAAATGTAATGCACATTTCCCTAGAAGAGACTAAAATGGAGGACTTTATTTTATAGAATTAGCACCTTTCCACAGTTTCACTCAGTAACGTGTGCATTTTTATTCTCTGCTGCAGGAACAGAAAACACCGGGTCTGGATCAGCACCGGAATACTGAAGTGGTGTCTGGAGGCCACTCAGGTACGTGATGGCTTTAGTCTCGCTTCACCGTCTCTCTGGTCTCACTAACCTTTAAAAAGCACCACATATATATATTCTAATGATCCGTTTGAGCTCTGAGGCACACTGTTAGATAATAAAGCTTTTAGAGCAGAAAGACGACTCCGATCAGAGCCTGATGGTGGCATGTGGTCCGTTCCCTGCTTGCTTTATTAGAAGTGACAGGATGTGACGTAACCGATGCTTAGATTAGGACAAATCTGGCTTTAGAAGAATAGATTCGGGTGTGAAACTGTTGGTCCTGTTGCTGCATGTGGGAATTACAGAAGTAGGGTAACGTCTGATCGTGGACCTTTTCTTAAAGAGGAGGGGAGGTGGAGCAGGAAGTGGATGAAGGTGTCAGCAGGGAGGAGTAAGCCTGGGTCCAGGCCTGTTGAAGAACACTTTGTTTGATTCCCAGGAACGTCGTTCTTCCTGTTTATTTTCCTCCCAGTCGATGTTTCCTCTGTTTGGTCCATGTTTTGCTGGGAGGGCTCCAGAGGCACGTAGGCGAGTGTGTGTGTGTTTATATCATTTACAAGTTAATTTACAAATTACTGGGCCTGTATGTTTATCGTGTGTGTGTGTGTGTGTGTGAGAGAGAGCGTTCAGCCTTGGAAACAGACAGGTCCAACTTCAAACCCAAACTGCTGGTTGCTCTCCCCAAAGTCTGACACCTTGATGTCCAGCAGAGGGAGGTGCTCCACCTGAGGCGTGTTGATCTCCAGGACCATCCTGTCGAAGCCTTTCCGGTACTGTGGAGAGAGACGGGACACGCGTCAAATTTCCAGGTGAACCCGCCCAGAACACACACTCAGAATCAGCTGTGAACTCACAGAGCAGCCGTCCACCAAGGCTTTGATGTAAGGGCTGGTCTCGTAGCTCAGCTCTTCCTCGTTGGCGCCTCTGAAGTGCAGCGCCCTCTTGTGGTTGTTCTTGGCGCTTCGGTCGGCCCAGGCCACGGAGCGGTGGCAGTGGTAGGTGAGGTTCTGACGGGCCTGGACGCTCAGGAGGCGCAGGAAGCCCAGCTGGACCACGCCCACGGGCTCGCCGTTCAAATCCACGTAGGAGAACTGAGATCAGGAAGTAAACGAGTGAAGGTCACGGCGGCGGCCATTTTTAACCTCTCCGAGTGTTACTGACCTTGCTACCAGTGGTGAACTGACTGTACCACGACCCTGGAGTCTCCTTGTCCCAGGAGCTCATCTTCACCTGCAGTCAGAAAGGTTCCCGTGGCATCAGTTAAACCAGTTTAGTTTGATGTTTCTATGATGATTTAGGTCTGACTGACCGTGTCAACGTCTCTGGGGTACAGACACGTCTCTCCTTTAGTGAAATTACAGAAGACCTTGAAGGAGTCTCTGGAGCAGCCTTGGTTTGGGTCAATCCAGTACTCTCCTGCAGAAAGGTGAGAAGTTACAGAAGCTCTGGTGTTGTTTGTGTTGGTGGCTTTTACTCTAAAGGAAACCGAAAACCACCCGAATAAGCAGCATGTGATCCTCTCACCATCCTGGAGGTCCGGCTGGCTGAGCTGCAGGTCCTGGCAGGTGCGAGCCGGACTGTCCCGAGTCCCCAGAGGGAAACGCATCGTCTCGATCTCCTGCCTTAGTGAGTTCAGGGATCCGAAGATCTCCTCCATGCCTTCACTGCCCAACAGGAACTCCGTACCAGCGGTGTCGGAGGCTGGCGCGTCGGGGTCGAACTCAGGCAGCAGCTGGCTGGCATCGATGGAGCGTTTAGTCTTGGGACTCCTCAGAATAGGCAGAGGCTGAATGGCCTCGCCTGGGGGACCCTGCCACAGAAGAATCTAATTTAACTCCGATTTTTATGAAGTATTTAAACAAGTATTAAACTTACAGGAGGCCCAGGAGGTCCTTGCACACCCTTCTCTCCCTTTGGACCTGCTCCTCCCTAAAGCAGAAAGATTTTAGAATCAGCCATTTAAACAGTTTGTTAACACGCCTCAACTAAAGCCGTGCAAACACCAACTCACACTGGAGCCCTTTGCTCCTTTGACACCTTGCGGACCCTGAAAAACAGAGCAGACGTCAGTTTTCCAACAATGACAAGAAGATCTGAATAAGATGGTAAAAAACTCACAGGAAGCCCAGGAGGACCAGCAGGACCCAGAGGTCCAGTACCTCCAGCCATCCCCTGTAGGGAGACACGTTTTATAATAAACGATGACAGGCGTGGAGCTGCTGCTCATGACGTTAACTCACAGGTTCTCCTTTAGGTCCGGTGGATCCATGAGGCCCAGGCATGCCCCGGTCTCCTTTCTCTCCCTGCTCTCCTGAAGGTCCGATCAGACCGATGAGACCCTGGTGACCCTTCTCACCCTTTGCACCAGGATCTCCACGCAGGCCAGGTAGACCGGGAGGTCCCTGCAGCACATCAGAGGAGGAGGTGAGGAAAAGGTAAACTCACATTTAACCAACCAGCTTTAGTGAATAGTGATGATGTCATTGACTTACGATAGGTCCAGGTGGGCCCGTCTGTCCAGCAGATCCTGGAGATCCTTGCTCTCCCTGAAACATCAAACAGGATCAGCTGCTGGATTCTAACTAAATACAAACGCTGCTGATTCTGATTCCCAGGAAAACCCACCACTGATCCTGGAAGTCCTCTGAGACCTTCTGTTCCCGGTTTTCCCGGCTGACCCTGAGGACCAACGGGGCCGGTCTTCCCTGGGGGCCCGACGGCACCTGGATCCCCCTAAAGGTGACGAGAACCATCAGCGTGTTAATTTTCCACTTCTGCATGAGAAACTCTGTAGGCTTAAAGTGTGTTTTATGTTGTAATCCAGGTCCTCCGCTACCCAGCATGTTTTAGTTGTTTCTCTGCTCCAACATCTGATTTTAGTCAGCAGGGAAACACCTGAAACACGCTGGTTAGCAGACCTCCAGGAGCAGGAATAGCCATCACTGCTTTGGAGGCTGATCTGAATCTAAATGTGCTGAAATGTATAATTTTATTTTGACGTTAGAGTTTGAGTAATAAAATCACAAAATTAATGTAATTTATTAATTTGACTGAAGCTTAGAACAATGAAGCTGTTTAAACAAAGCTCATAATTCCCAGCTTTACTTTTGTAAATGTAAAATTACTATTTTTATGGATGGAAATGATTTACTTAACGGGATCAGGAGACGTCCTCTTTAACTCATTCACTGCATGTTTTTACTGTGTGGGCGTCGGACGAGCCCCCGCTCCGTGAGAACAAACATCTCGGCTCTAAAGCCGATCTTCATCCACGTACGTCACACGTCACGTGATCAGGAAGCAGAACATCCATGTGTTAGATCGTTTTGGGCCGCTGCTGTAAAAAAAGTGAGGCACGAACCGGAAAAGCGTCTGCCGATCACAATTCAACAACGGATCATGAAAGAACGGATAACGCGCAGATTCTTCCTGATGTAAGAGGCGGGTCTCCGCTTTGTTTTGGTAGCTTTGGCATCGACATCATCCTAGCGCGCAACGTCCTGTGACTCTTAAAAAACGGTGAGAAACGCCGGCAGCGAATGAGTTAAGGGTTTTCTAGTGTTTAAATCTGCATGTTGATCATCTGTAAAAACGACTCACTTTGGTTCCCTTCTCTCCTTGTCGGCCCTCCGGTCCTCTGGTCCCAGCAGGTCCCTGATGAATAAAATAGTTTAGGAATAATTTATCTATCGGATGCTTATTTAAAAGCGATAGGCGGATACATCCATCCATCTGGGCTATCAAACTTTACCCTTTTTCCTGGAGGACCAGGTGGTCCGTTCTCACCGGGAGGTCCTGGAGAACCCTGTAACAGGAAATGGATCCATGAGATTTAGGGGACAAACCGTGTTTGATGTTCCTGTTGCATCGTTTTACTCACCGACTCTCCTGCTTCACCGTCCTCTCCTCTCTCTCCTTTGGCGCCATCTTGACCCTGAAGTCAAAGCCGATCAGGATTAGATGAGATGTTCGGTGGTGCAGAAGATGGTCTGTAAAACTAAAGACACTTACTCTGGGTCCAACCTCACCAGGAGCACCAGGATCTCCAGGGGAACCAACTGGGCCCTGAAATTACAGAACCAGTCACGATAAGTGACAGGTCTGGGTGTCTGGATGGTAGAAGAACTGCTTCACTGCGTCTTACTGGGTTTCCTTTGGGTCCATCATCTCCAGGTCGTCCTCGTCCTCCAGCAGGTCCAGCAGTTCCAGGTTGTCCAGCTTCTCCCTTCTCTCCGCGTTCTCCACGAAGACCCTGACAACGAGAACACGGCTGTTAGCTAACCGGTCAGCGGGGCATCAGAAGACTTTGGCTCACTCAGGTACTCACCTTCTTTCCTGGTTCTCCAACAACTCCAGGTGCTCCCGCCTCACCAGGCTCTCCCTGTGGAGCAAACACTGAATGTCTTATAGCAGCTATTTTATGAGAGACTATTAAAGTCATGCAGGAAAATCCTCCAATGCTGCACCTTCTCTCCAAGAGGTCCAGGATTACCCAAACCACCAGGAGGACCTTGAGGTCCCTGAAATGCAACCATGAAACAAATGTAATGAGAGACAAAGTTCCTACTAACAGACATGACTTGGTAAAAACTACAGAAGCAACTAGAAGAGCTCCAAGCACTCACGTCGGCTCCGTTGGGTCCAGCAGGTCCGCGGGGTCCTGGAGGTCCAGGAGGACCCTGGAGACATAAAAAAGTTGTATTGCTGTAGAAGAAAGAAGCCACATCTCCAGTTGTTTTAAGCTCACCAATGGCCCAACGTCTCCGGTCTCTCCCTTCTCACCCGATGGTCCAGGCAGGCCCTGTAGACCAGAAGAAGTTTAACCAAAAACTGGTTAGCAGCTTAGCTCAGGAACCTAAACACGAGCGACTCCAACAGAAAACTGTTTATTGGTTTTTCTTCTTTCACCTGAAGTCCGATAGGTCCCGGAGCTCCCGGGAATCCTCGAGTTCCTTCGTCACCTTTAGCTCCAAAAGGTCCCTGCTGCCCCCTTGGTCCCAGCTCTCCATCTGCCCCCTGCCCCACAGAGGAGATAAGAAATGGTATGCAGCCCACATCCAAGCACCAAATCAGCATTTTGATCTGTTTCTACTCACAGCAGGACCGGGTTGGCCAACTGGACCGTTTGGGCCAGGTGGACCAGGAGGACCCTAACATGAAAACACGCATTTTAGCTTTAAAACATGAATATTATTAATAATAATAATACGACACACGAGGGCTTCACTAAGTCACTCACATGCTCTCCTTTCCCCCCCTTGGCTCCCTTCTGACCGTGTTCTCCAACTTCACCCTGAAGACACGTTTTATCAGTTTGAGCACATACGACTATTATTGGTCAGGATAATAGATGCACGTGCATTTAGAATATTTAATAAGGAATATTAGAGGAGGTTCTTTTTGCTTCGGACATGAAGGTGTTTCTAGTTACCTTTACATGTTTCGACCGTCGTCTGCGGTCTTCTTCAGAAGTCTCACAGATGTTTGTGTGACGTGTCTTTATCAGCTGTTCTTCCGGTGGGCGTGGCCAACCCGGAGCTGGCTGGTCTTTGGAGAAGGGAATCCCAGGTGCGAGACAGCTGATAGGCTCCCTCGTCTCTGTTCATGCTCCCGTTTCCTCATTTCTATTGCCTCCCTGACCCAACGTTTGAACCGGTTGTTCTCGGTGTTGATAATTTTCCCTTGATCCCAGTCCATGATGTGATTATTTCGTTTGCAATGATCTGACATGGCTGACTTGAAGGTTTGCTCCTCTGCTTTTTTTTGTTGTTGTCCTTGTGAGGCGACAGAAATAAGGAAACGGGAACATGAACAGAGACGAGGGGGCCTATCAGCTGTCTCGCACCTGGGATTCCCTTCTCCAAAGACCAGCCAGCGGAGGTGGGCGTGACCGACCCGGCGGATCTGACAGATCCGGCTTGGCCACGCCCACCGGAAGAACAGCTGATAGACGCGTCACACAAACACCTGTGACACTTCTGAAGAAGACCGCAGACGACGGTCGAAACATGTAAAGGTAACTAGAAACACCTTCATGTCCGAAGCAAAAGGAACCTCGTTTAATATTTAAAAAGAGGACATAATGAACATTGTAAAGGATTTAATAAGGAATATCTATAATTAGGATCTAAAATGTCCCATAACTAAAATAATGTAGAAGTCGGTTTTGTGTCGACTGTGACTAAAGTCTTGGGACGGTCATGTGGAGTTACTCACCTTATCTCCATCCTCTCCAGGTACTCCAGGTGATCCAGCAGGGCCGGGCAGACCCACTGGACCCTGGACTCCATCCCGCCCTGCTGGGCCAATGGGGCCTTTCTCGCCCTGTAAAGGAGAACGTCTGAAGTTATTCCGTCTTTAGCTCGCCACGCCGAGTTAAAGGATATATTTTAGGTTTGCGTTACTGATTAAAAACGTCCTGATAACTCACTGGAACGCCCTTCTCTCCAGCTTGTCCTGGTGTTCCTTGAGGACCTGGTCTGCCAGGAGGTCCCACAGGTCCAGCGGTTCCAGCAGAACCTCTCTCACCAGGAGAACCCTAGAAAGTACACATGTTGGTACACTTAACAGTGAGCGAGTACTTCTACCTTTGATTGGGTCTTCTGACATCAACATCAGCCTGACTCTGACAGAAACGACCTTAACCCTCAGGCTTCACTTTAACTTTCATACAAAAGAGTCATTAGAGGGCAAAAACGTCCGCTTGTAAGGTTTTTTTTTAGCTTTCTCGCCTGGGCAACATATGGAGAAATGACAGAATTTGGTGGTGAACAGTAAAAATCATAAATTTGACTACTTTGTCCAAAATGAAACCATAACATCACAGAAAGCATGATTACTTGCTGCAGATGATGCAGGATCAAAAACTGTGGTTTGCATTGAAGTCAATGGGACGTTTTTGCCTCTAATGGCTCGAGTGTATAGTGAATTTTAAATCTGTTGCTATGTAAAAACTATAAATGCAAAAAATTCAAAATTTTAGATATTTCATAACATAATCAAGACTGATTGGAACTAAACACCCCAGGCATTAAAAAATGTCTTTTTTAGAAAATAACTCAGTTTTAGTTTTTTTTCTTCATAAATTACATCAATGACTGAGTATTCAAACTGGCATTTCAAGGGTTAAAAGCCTCAAAATGACTGATTTTTTTTATGTTTGAGCAGGGCTGAAGTTGTTCAACAGATGTGTGAAAAAAAAACATTAAAAAAAATTTTATAGCCACTTTTACAAGCGGATGTTTTTGTCCTCTAAAGTCTCAAGTGTTTCTTTCATAGTGTTCCCTTGGTCTATTTTAAAAATTCCAAATTTGTCCAGAGAGCGGTTTTGCGACCACATTTTTTTACCGTATGCACAAACGGTGGTGAAATGGTGTCAAAACGAAAAACAAAAAACTGCCCAAATGGACAAAAAAGTCCCTAACGAAGCCTGAGGGATAAGTTTCATAAGATTGTTCAAAACATACAGCAGGTCCAGGAGGTCCAGCAGGTCCTTCGCTTCCCTTCAGTCCTCCACCACCCTGGAAGGAAACATCAAAAGATCTCATCAGTTTCACCTGAGCTCCACTAAACCCTCTAGAGAAACATAAAGCATCAAACTCTGATGGTCTGAACTCGTTTCACTCACAGGGGTTCCAGGAAGTCCTCTCTCTCCAGGGAATCCTCTCAGACCAGGAGGCCCATCTTTACCAGGGCCTCCTGGAGGTCCGGGGTCTCCCTTGGTGCCCTCTTTTCCTGACGGACCAGAAAGTCCCTGCTCTCCTGGAGGACCTGGAGGTCCAGGGTGCCCACGCTCACCCATGGGGCCCGTTTCACCGGATGGACCCTAGGAGGATGGAGGGAAAAAAAGACTATGACTGCGTTGTTGCAAAAGCTGTGAAATGATGGAACCGGATGGATTAACCCACCTGAGGTCCTACAACTCCCGGAGGCCCAGGTGGACCCACTTTACCTTGGAACCCCTGTAGAAGAAGACTTGGTGAACCTAAAGATGCAGCAGAACACCTTTAACTAAGTTTATCTACAAACTTACGACTTCTCCTCTCTGTCCAGGATGTCCAGGCAGTCCGTCCTTTCCTGGTGGTCCCTGTGAAGTATTAGTTTTCCTTAATTCCCCAAAAACTTCAGCTCCCATTTCAAAACAATAACCTAAAAGTGTTCAGCAGCAAAAAGCACTTACTGGAGGTCCCTTTGGTCCGGGGAAGCCGTTGGCTCCTTGAGGTCCGGGTAATCCCTGATCAGACCATGACATCGTATAAAATTAGAACATAAATTATAACCTAATTAAATCGTTTCATGATTTCCTGTAGCAGCAAATAAGAACTCACCCTCTCTCCAGGAGGACCAGGAGGGCCGTCACTTCCAGACGTTCCCTATGAGGAAATATAATATTTTAGGTCTGTTTGACACACAAAAATACTTTTAGATTATTGTATAAATAAGAAATTATTCATATGAAGATTTGATAAAAGGGAAAAGCGTACATTTGGAGAACGTTGCTAAGCCTGGGTGTTTCGATGTTTAGACAAACCTTTGCTCCTAGTTTTCCTGTTGATCCCCTCGGTCCTCTCTGCCCTCGAGGACCCTGGTGATCACAGACAAGAGTTAAAATAGATTTCCTGATCCAGAAAAAATTTTTATAAATGCAACCAAATTAACACATTAAACCATGATGTGCTACTACTAGTTTACCCGTTTAATTATAGATTCACTAGGAGAAATACAATAAAGTTTATCTCTCACCAAATAGAATATTTACTAAGAAATCACAATGTAACGTGTGTGTGTGTGTGTGTGTGTGTGTCTTCTCGATCCCCAGTGAGTCGTGAAGGATGGCTGCTTACACTGAGCCAGGATTCTCTGGAGGTTTCTTCCTGTTTAAAAGGAGTTTTCCTCTCCACTGTCGTTGCATGCTTGCTTAGTATGAGGATTGCTGTAAAGACTCTGACACTCGTCAGTGACTTGATGCAACCTGCTGGGTTCCTCATATAGGAAACTTTTTTCTGATTGGCTTAATGAACTGACCTGGATTGGAATGTTTACTGTGTGAAGGTCCTTGAGACGACTCTGGTCGTGATTTGGCGCTTTATAAATAAACTTGAATTGAATCATAAGCACAGTGCAACACCACCTAAACTGTTACTGACCAAAGGTAGTCTCTGCTGACCCCCAGTGGCTATAATTGTAACTGCACTGGTGCTAAATGATGTCGACACAAATCAGCTTCTGTTTAGTTCCTCTGGTCTGACTAGGAGCTCTGAGTAAATGAGAACTTTACCGTTGGTCCTCTTTGTCCTCTTGGTCCTTGTTTTCCAGAAACACCCTGATTTAAAAAAGAAAACAAGTTATAAACTAATAAAGCACGACTACGTCTGGGTAAAATCATCACTAGTTTTAATGTTTCAGGAAGGTAACTCCTGCTTTGATAACAAGTATAACAGCTCACCCGCGTTCCCTTCTCTCCATTAGAACCAGGAAATCCAGGGAATCCAAGAGATCCCTAAAAACAAAAATCTTTATATCAGTAATTATAGAAACATTAACTAACTTCTGATGTACAAGTGTTTATTTACCTTGGGTCCTTGTCTTCCAGGGTATCCAGGAAGTCCAGGTACACCAAGTTTACCCTGGAAAAATGTCAACGATGTCATAAAATGCACAAAAAGTTTATTAGCGGGTTTCAGGTAAATGTTTAGGTAGAAAAGGAGACAAGCAGCTAGTTTTATTCTCAGATGCTGTAGTTGAGTTATTGTGTCCTGCAGTAAATTTAGAGGAAACATGTTTAGTTTAATAAAGCTAAAATAAACATTTAGAACAGGGGTGGGCGACATATTCTTATCTTATTTTCCACATCTGTTGATACTGATATACATCACCATATAAAACTAATCAATATTTATCAACCTTTAATGTTCCTGTTTAACCTGTTAAACCCTAACACCCCCCAACTGGGGGCCTCTACAGTTTCATGTCCCAGACATCTACAACTGTCCACATTCTCCAAACAACTACAACCACAATCAAACAGCTCAGATGGGAAACAAGGCCATTTTAAATTGTAATAAATTAAGAAACAATGATGTTTGAACTTTATTTTAGAAGAGCATCTGGCCTTCTCTGGTCTCTGCTGGAGAAAAAAAACCTTGAACAAATGTAGCTGAGGATCCCTGGAATAAATAAAACAATTGACTAAATTTCCTAAATGGAATTTGAACTCACAACCTCCATCCTGTCAGCACTTTCACACAGGGCAGCTCTTCTAAAATAAAGTTCAAGTATTATTTTATCTTAATGTGTCAAAAACCAAAAAGAGCTTTGTTTACAATCTAAACTGTTTTGATTGTAGCTGTGCTCGGGTAATGCAAACAACCACTGACACTTGGGACATGAAACTCCAAAGGCCCCTGATTGGGAGGCGCCAGGGCCCAAAGAAAAAAGGCCTAGGGCCTAAAGTTATTTTTGATTTAAAGCTGCAGCGCGCACGTGTGGTCGTTAGAGGAACTGCAGTCAGCACAACGCACGCCCGTGACATTAAACCAGAAGTCCTGTATTATGTGACATCCTCTTTTAAAACTAATTAAAATGCCACAAAGTAAAAAATGTCACCCTTTTTTCCATTAACCACAAAAGGAAGTACAACCGTGAGCTCATCTTTATATTCTTCTCTGATTTAAACGGTCGTACCTTCTCTCCAGCAAGCCCAATTGGTCCGAGTTCTCCAGGAGGTCCAACACGACCCTTTGGTCCCTCTGGGCCATCTTCTCCTCTGGGCCCTGAAACTCCAATCTCACCCTACCAGTGAGGAACATCAGATAACAACAGTCACAATAAAGCAAACATGAAACAGGACTGAAACATCATCTAATCTTATCCACCACAAACTTATTAGCTATCATTTATTTTACCCTCTCTCCCTTGATGCCAAAATCTCCCTTAATTCCTGGGAAGCCATCTTCTCCCTACAAACAAAAACAGTTATCTGTCAATCGAGGATATTTAGGACATTTCACATGACTGATCTTAGGCGGTAACGCAGGAGTTACCTTCTCTCCTTTGTGACCCTTTAGACCGCGGATTCCTTGCACTCCCTGCAATCAAAACAAAATGTTTGGTGGTTTAATCTTTTTAAATATGACATGAAAAAACTTTAAAATATATCATTAACTCATTCGCTGCCAGCGTTTCTCGCCATTTTTTGAGTCACAGAACGTTGCGCGCTAGGATGATGTTGACGCCAAAACAAAGCGGAGACCCACCTCTTACATCAGGAAGAATCCGCGCGTTTCGAGCGTTATCCGTTCTCTCATAATCCGTTGTTGAATTGTGATCGGCAGAAGCTTTTCCAGTTCGCGCCTCACTTTTTTTTTACAGCAGCGGCCCAAAACAATCTCCTAACACCTGGATGTTCTGCTTCCTGATCACGTGACGTACGCGGATGAAGATCGGCTTCAGAGCCGAGATGTTTGTTCTCACGGTGCGGGGGCTCGTCCGACGCCCACACAGTAAAAACATGCAAATGGCAGTGAACGGTTGGATTTAAAATGTTGACTTTTGTCATCATTGGCAGTATATGAGTTAATACACTGCTCAAAAAATAAAGGTAACACAAAAATAAGACTAGATCTGAAGCTGAACGTGCCGACAACAAACACAAAAATTATCAATGGAAATCAAACGTAACCCACGGAGGTCTGGATTTGGAGTCGTACTCAAAATAAAAGTGGAAAAACAACAGGCTGGTCCAGCTTTGATGTCACGTCCTTAAAACAAAAGAAAATGAGGCTCAGTAGTGGGTGTGGCCTCCACGTTTGTATGATCTCTACAACTCTTGGGCATGCTCCTGATGAGGTAGAGGATGGTCTCCTGAGGGATCTCCTCACAGGGTTCTACAACCTCACAACATAATCGGTCCTTCACTCATTCACACGCTGGTGATGATGAGCTATATTGTAGCCACAGCTGCCCTGGGGCGCATTGACGGCAAAGACTGCCACACACTGGCACCACCAGTCTCTCCAACCACCACCATCAAGCAAGGCGGGTTAGGAGTCTTGCCCAGGGACACAACAGCAGCATTCTCTGGTGGGAGCCAGGATTGAACCTTGTAACTTACCAAAAGGTCAAATATTTAATCAAAAATTACCAGAAATTTACTTGTAGACACAAACTGCATCCCACATCCAGGGATGCATCACAACGCCTTTAAACGTGTCAAATTCTGATTTGTAAACATTGGATATAGACAAGGATCACTTCCTGATCTAGTTAGTTCTTCAGAGTTCACTCGGTTTAGGCCGACCAGTGAGCAAGCATTTGGGACCACCCTCTTATCTGACCTCAGGTCAAAACATTGCTCTGCAAAGCTTGCAAGTGACATCAGACACAACAGCCTCAGATGCAAAATAGACACTCCAGCTTCCTGCCGTCACCTGAAGGTATCTCAGACTAGATGGGTCATGCTCGGAGGTAGGGCTGCTCGATTATGGCAAAAACAATAATCACGATTATTGTGACTGAAATTGAGATCTCGATTATTTAGGACGATTTTTCAATTTATGTTGATTTTATTTGTTTTTATTCTGTCATAAAATTGCTCAGGGCACAATCGGACAAAATTAAATAAGAAACAAGATGATCACTAAAATAACTCCTGATTCCCAGTATAAAAAGACCAATATACTTATAGCTCATAGTTTATGACCCAAGGGCTATAGACCTTGGTTTAATTCATTTAAGTCTAACCAGTACAGACCCAAATACCAATATCTTGCAAATTCTGACAGCAAGAATTATACAGTGGCATTTATAACAAATAAATGCAAATAAATTGATGTTCATAAAATGTTGTATAACATTTATTTAGTCATGTCAAGGTGCTGTAGGAGAGTGCACTAGCACCGTGTCCTCAGAGAGATTAGTTATTAGTTATCAGCGTGAGGAACTTATTTCTACCTTATTTATAAACTATTTATTTACAGGTCCATCAGTGAATGTAATAACTGTCCCAACCACAGCTGCACCCCCCCAACCCGGTTTCACAGCAATCATGGGCAAGCTGTACGTGTGTTTAGCGCGCAGCACGCGCACATTTAGCTGTTTTTAGCGGCTCAGGAGCCCGCAGTTACGGTGTGTGTCACTCACTCTGTTTAATCCAACAGGGAACCGGCTCTAAGAGCAGTTTCTTTAGCAACTGACACATCACTGCATCATTCCCTTTCCTAATGTCCTGAAGAACGGTCCGGAGCGCAGGCGGAGTGTTTAGCTAACCTGCAAGAAATGTCAACGGCGGTTATCCAGAAAGTAGCTAAGGTTACCAGAGATGTTTCTGAGGTGTTCGCTAGGTATTTTTACGATTTAAAAAGTCAAGAAGGGGGTCTGAAAAGCTGTTAGAAATAGCGTTGAAGTCGCTAAGTTGGCAACACTGTGGGAGGAGCGCTTCATTTGCAACTCAGGGCAGCGCAAGTGGGAGGAGCAAATAATCGGCTTGTTTTGTTTTTATAATCGTTCAAACCTCAGATCGTAATTGGGATAAAAATTTGATTAATTGAGCAGCCCTACTCGGAGGTCTCCATCCTGACCTCTTGACCCCCTGGATCTCACGTGGACCTTCGTACAAGGGTGCGTAGACTCAGCACAAATGGCATCGGATGGTTTTATGAACAATCTAGCTTATTAAACCATACAGCCAAACTGATTTTAAAACTCAGACATCTGAAACATGTAGCTCACATTCCACCATTTCATTCATCATCTGTTATCCTGTACAACCATCATCCATACTTTGTCATGTTTAATCATTAGTTTAGAAAATACAATTAAACTCATTTTTATAAACTATATCCTTGACTCTGTCTGAATGAATACGAAGTGTGTGTTCCCTGAAGAGTCAAAGAACCTAAAGGAACGTTAGTTCAAATATTCAAAGATCAATCAGATTGATATTTCATATTTATATGAAACACCACATCTTATTGATCATTTAATAAATACGAAGTCAATCCACACCGCTACAACCTTCTGATAACTGGACAACCCCCTCAACCTCCTGAGCTACTGCTGCTACCTGGACTAAAACATCTGCCAGCTCCTGGACTGTCTGTGGTGCAACGTGGTGTTGGTGGATGGAGCGAGACATGATGTCCTAGATGTGTTCAACTGGACTCGGGTCTGGGAAACGGGCGGAGCAGTCTATAGCATCAATGCCTTGCTCTTGCAGAAACTGCTGACACACTTTAGCCACGGGGTCCAACATTGTCTCACATTAGGAGGAACCCAGGGCCAACCGCATCAGCATGTGGTCTCACGGCAGTCTGACCACCTCTGGTGAGCACAACTCAGGTGTGTTCCCCCGTTTTCTTATTTGAATGCATTTTTAAAGTATTGGATATCGGCAGCCACTCATAATTAAGTGACATGAACAGAAAATGTGTTGGTATCTATGAACATTTTGATAAAATATTAAATAAATGTTCCGACCTTGATGCCACGAGGGCCAGGATAGCCGATGGCTCCTTGAGGACCGTTGGGACCCTGGAGATGATCAGGAAGATGAGTTAGAAGCATAAGAAAACTAAAACCACAAAGATCTACTCTAATTATTCTAAATACACACAGAAAAAAGTTTAGGATGAAACAGATTAGGTGGTTTAAATCGACACCTACCTGGTTTCCTTTAGTGCCTGACGGACCCTCCTTTCCTGGGTGACCCTGAGAACAGAAAATGGGGCTTGAGTCTCTGGACAAATAAAAATACATAAAATCATATTTAATATTTTAAAAGGGAAACTTACAGGAGGGCCGTCCGCTCCAGGCATTCCTGGTAAACCCGGTTTTCCAGTGGGACCCTAGAAAGAAGCACAAAGTGGTCATGAGCTTAATCCGAGTACCGTATTTTCCGGACTATAAGCCGCTACTTTTTCCCCACGCTTTGAACCCTGTGGCTTATAATGAGGTGCGGCTTTACTGAAGATTTTCCTTCACCTGCCACTAGGGGGCGCTTTAACAGGAAGTGAAACAGGTGGAAGTCAAAAGTGGAAATCGAGGAAAGTGCTCATTTTAATTTAGCACATGCAAGCAGCCGGCACCACGAAGAATTTTTTTCACATCCATACCCCCTCGTCATGGTAACTACACGTATGAGTTCATATGATGCCGCATTTAAGCTGAAGGCCATTGATCTGGCAGTAAAGGAGGGAAACAGTGCTGCCGTACGTAAGCTTGGCATGAATGAATCCATGGTTCGGCGCTGGAGACGGCAGCGGGAAGAACTCATTCAAGCCAGCTTCACCCGGGGATGATGACAGCAACACGGACAGCGACACTGACATCGCCACAGAAAAGGTATGTGACGAAGCTCTTCTGAGGCTGTTCAGCTCCGACACTGAAGAAGAGGACTTTAATGGCTTTAGTGCGCAAGAGGAAGATGAGAGCGAATGACTTCTTCTGGTAGGCAAGTGTGTTTTATTTACTAACCAGGCATGTTTTGTGTGCAGTTTTTATTTTCTAATCATCCAGGCCTTATTAATGCTGAGTCAGCGCTGTTCTTTTCTTCTAAACATGCAAATTACGGTAATAACGTGTCAGTGCTGTTTTTATTTTATAACCATCCAGAAATATGAATGCTATCAGTGCTGTTCTCTTTTCTAAACTTGCAGGCACGTTCACCTGTGTTTAAAATTAGTTTTGTTGAATTAAAACAACGATGAAAAACCTCCGTGTAGCGACTTTCTGTCTAATTATCTCATGTTATGGCCGTACATGCGCTGTGCGCCAGAGACCTGCATGTGGCTGCTGTGCCGCGGCTTGTATTTGAGTGCGGTGTGTGTAGAAAACCTTTTTTTTTGTTGGTGGGCTCTATAGTCCGGAAATTACAGTAACTATATAATCCAAGACTAATCCTAATTTCTAGCATTCCCAGACCCAGTGGATATAGAGTCTCACATTCCTTAGTGGATATCAGTATTTCTATTCTTTTTGTGAAACCAGTTTAACATCTATACTGCTGCTGGTTTGTCCAAAATACAAGCTGAAAAATAAGGTTCATGGATATTTTAGATTTTTGTTATTGGGGCCTCTGGTTTATGAAGACAATAGTTAAACATGAGGAAGATCTGGAACTAGCAGCAGGGTCGTTGAGGATTTCACCATTTTAATGTAATTCTAGTATCTAGGACTAGGGCTGCAACAAACGATTATTTGGATAATCGATTAATCGGATGGGGTCTCGACACGATTAATCGATTAATCGGATTACATGGGGAAATTTTTAAAAACTGCTAGGGAAACGTTATTTCTCTCCTTCCTTCACTTTATTTAACACAACATTATTAGAAAACAGTTCAATAGCAGAAAAACAACATGCCATCACCTAAATTGTCTTATAAGGTGTATAGACAGAGACCCTAAGCTACATCTATCTGTGACCTAAAATGCTTGGTCCAAGTTAAACAGCTTAAGGGCAATTCTCATCTGTTTTGTTTGATCTCATCTGTTGACATATATTTTAAATGTAATTAAACATAGGCTGTGAATTAATCAAAATTGATCACTATTTCCAAAAATGACTGAAAAAATACCAAATAAAACAAAAGTAAATGAATGCCATCCTCCTTGCGATGATGCCCTGGGCAACTGCCATAAAGTCACATCAAGAAATGCTGCTGATCATTCCAATGATCCCAAATAGACTCACATTAGGCCACATGAAAGCAACTGAACCCAAAAATATATTAACCAGTATATAACTGCACTCTCACACAACACGCCTGCAGCAACAGTTAGAACTCCTCCCTCCCTTTTAAAAGCGTTTTTGCTTCTGAGGACATTGTGGTTGTAAAACCACATGCTAGTAGTCTGGCCCCGGTGTGATCAACCAGTTTCTGCGGGAATGTGACGGCAGAACCAGGGCCAGATTAACACTTTGTTGTACCCTGGGCAACAATATTCAAGGGCTCCATCATCACGACCCGAGGATCACCATAATGTGGTCACATACAGAATATTTTACTGTAATATGCAGTAAATATACTCAATACTTGAATGCCTGACAACACGTAACCCGCCCAGAGTAACCTTTGACCCACCTCGTGTGGACTGACCAATGAGGAGAGGGTCTTAACTTGAGGCCCTCTCTTCATTGGTCATTCTGCATGAGACTGACTCTCAACTGACGTTCAGTCGTAGGCAGCGAAGCTTCTCTGTGCAGTGCAAAAGCCCGGGTGGACAGTTTGTTTAATGTAGGGTGACCATATTTCCATTTCCAAACAAGAGGACAGGGGATCTGTGCCTATGACGTCACACTATGGCAACGCCACACAAACCATGTTGGGACCCATTTTTTGTAAGAACTAAATTAATATCAGATTCTGCCAATTAAAGGGCTCTAAAACAATTCATATATAAATATTTAGCATATTTAATGCAAAATCAAATTTTTCTGCTTTAGTTCTGCAACAAGGTTTTATTAATAATAAATTATTATACCTTTTGTTTTACTACAGCATCGGTACGCTTCCTGTGCAGATTATTAAGGATGCTTGTTTCAGCTGTGAGATTAGACGATAGGATCAATGAAAAAATAACTAGTCACACACTCCATGGAAACTTTCAGAGAATCCACAAATAGTGGCTTTCAAATGGTTTTGTTACTTTTTGCAAGTTTATAAAAGAAGCAGATGAGACAGCATGTCTGATAATTTAGTTTTTCATCTGATAATATTAGAACATGTCAGTAATGTCTGAGGGGCTTTTATAAACACCATATAACTAACTGGAGAGGGCATGAATTACACAGAGGCTTCTGGGGAGCCCAGTTATGGGGGGGGGGGGGGGGGGGGCATTTTGCCTTGGCCCCCAAAATGTCTTGAAACGGCCCTGGGTGTGTGACTGAGTTTTGAAGGTGATCTGAATTGTATCAGATGTATAAATATGACATGTGTATAACTTATTGTTTTTTATAGGTAAAAACGTGTAGTGGTGATAAATCTACCTACATTTTACTTTTCAACACTTTGTTTTCAGCGCTTTGTTTCACTTTCAGCGCTTTGGGCTTCCTGACAGGGTTGCGGAAGGCGCTTTATAAATAAAGCTTTGATTGATTGATTGATTGATTGATTTTTTGTTTTTATTGAACTATTTTCCTGTCCTGTCTGTCTCTCATCTTCCTGCATCTCCTCTTAATTCTCCAGAAAATCTGTTGCCTGGATTCTTACCTTTTCACCTCATCAGTTACTTTTGAGCAGATCAAAGGGATCTCCTGACCGAAAAGCGCAGAGCGCGTTTTCGATGCTGCGTGAGGTGACATCACCACAGCAGAGGTGATGAGCTCCGCAGTAGCGAGCTTCAGGCACAAATAAGACAGAAAATAGAGAAGATGTGCAGACAAGAACGATCGTGTGCTAATTATAGTTTTTTTGGTTGCGCCACTTTGAGAATGGACCGTGCGCTGGAAGCAGCTGCCTGGATCGCTGTGCAACAATGCGGAACCGGTTCGCTGCAGCGCAAGTCTGCCGGCTCTCCCTCGCGCTGATCTGCGGCTCTCCCTCGCGCTGATCTGCCGGCTCTCACTCGCGCTGATCTGCGGCTCTCCCTCGCGCTGATCTGCGGCTCTCCCTCGCGCTGATCTGCGGCTCTCACTCGCGCTGATCTGCGGCTCTCCCTCGCGCTGATCTGCCGGCTCTCACTCGCGCTGATCTGCGGCTCTCCCTCGCGCTGATCTGCGGCTCTCCCTCGTGCTGATCTGAATCTGACTTGCTCTGGTCTGCGCGCAACGGCGGACGGGATTCGGGAAGGGGGGGGGGGGGGGGGGGGGGGGGGGCTTTTGGAAGAGTTGTGCGACACAACGAATCGATGACGCAATTCGTTGCCAACGCTTTTAGTAATCGATTTTCATCGAATTTATCGATTCGTTGTTGCAGCCCTATCTAGGACACAAATTCTGGGTTACTTACTTTCTCTCCTGGAGGTCCAATAGCTCCCTGAGGTCCTGGCATTCCCTGCAAAAACAACAAATATAAAACCAATTATGTATTCTTTACTCTAAACGTCGTATGCAAATGCAGAAAAGACACACTGCTCTCCCCAAAGGGGATGCAGCCTGTAAATTACTATAGAGCACACTAGAGAGCTGGGGATTCTTCAGCAACACAGGAACAATAAAACTGCAGAAACGTCGGTCTGTCACATAAAGGCAATGATACCAGTGATGCAGCTTCTTACTCCTAAAAAACATCAAATGGCAGGTAGGTTGTCTCACCTGAGTTCCTGGAGTTCCCTGCTGGCCTGGAGGTCCGGGCTCACCTTGAGGACCCTGAGAGATAAAATAAAAAGTGACTGGAAGGTACAAAAGGAGTAGTAAAATGTATGAAATTACTGGTTGTACAGTTCAGATCCTACTTGTAAATAATCTGATAATTTCATGATGACATGTTAAAGTTGCTTTCCGGAGTTTTCCCGTTTCAGAAATGATGTATAATTTGTCAGAAATCCGTAAAAGTGATTGTCTCATCCTGTGATAAAATGTAAGCGATACATCTTGTTTTTTGTTTTTTTTTGCTAACCACGCCCCCTGCCCTGCAGAGCGCCGTGCAATAGGAAACTGAGCGCCAACCAGAACTAACCAATAGCGTTAGACTACCGCGTACGTGCTTCAAATTTAAGGAATACCTCGGCTGATGCAGAGTTGAGGAACTTTTCACGGACAAGAAAGTCTCTAAAATATAAATATGTGAGACCACAAAGGAGAATAATACTCGTAAAACAACGTGTTTTTGCTGTTTGTCGCTACAGAAGCACATTTATAAACAGAAATGTGAAGTCGCCATCTTAAAAAAACAGGAACAGCGTTATTGAGTGATATGCTTGTCAGCCACTAGATGGTGCCATCGGATAAGAGAAATACTCCGGAAAGAAGCTTTAACCATTACTGACCAAATTTCCTTTGGGACCATGAGGGCCATCATTTCCTCGTACACCCTGGAAGGAGAGAGAGAGAGCATACAGTAAAAAACATTTGCTGCCCATGTGAACAACTTCCTCACTGGTTTATATCAGAGCACTTTTTTGCAGGTAGAAAGTGAAAATGCCCTTTTTATTCTTTAATCGCAGCAAATCAGACACTGGTGATGAGAAAGTCCATCATTTTGAACATCAATATCTATAAAGTTCTGCTGTATTATTCTGATTCATGAAAACAAGATAAAAACAAAACAAAAAAGTCACACTACACTAAAACAGCTGTTAGATATAAATATATGGCGTAGATGTCAAAAATGGCTGCCAGAATCCTCCCTTCAGCAGAAACTGAAGAACATCACATCCTAATTTCTGGATCAGTAGCTTTCCCGGCCGTCATATCAGGATACAGACTGTTGCTTCAGGCATGGCTGTGGGTGTTGTGTGGTTTACTTACAGGAGGTCCAGAGATTCCTGGAGGACCTTTAGGCCCGAGCAGACCACGGGGTCCCTAAAGACAAAGACAGAAACACATCTAGGGTAAGATAAAACTCAGTAACAGGGAAAACTCAAGGTCTAAAACAATACTCTCAAATTCAACTACCGTATTTTCCGCAGTATAAGTCGCACCAGCCATAAAATGTATAATGAAGAAATAAACATATATAAGTCGCACTATAAGTCACATTTTGGGGGGAAACTTTATTACTTTTCTTACAAAATCTGAGACCAAGCGTTTCACATTGCAAGACAAGTACCGGTAATAATAACAGAATAAACAATCAGGGCGCAGCAGCGCGCCACGGTCTCCAGCAGAAGATGGCGGTGTTTCAAACCCTCCCAGTGGGTGGGGAGAGCGCCCGCAGTACCCCGCACGCCACAGGCTGCAGCAGGTGATGGCGGTGTTTGAAACCCTCCCAGCGGGGCAGAGGAGCTGAAACCTGGACCGGAGCCGGCCCGCAGCAGCGCGCAACGGTCTCCAGCAGGTGATGGCGGGGCAGGGGAGCTCATTCCTGGTCTGGAGCCGGCCCGCAGCAGCACGGTACACATAATTTGGTACATAAGTCACTTTGGTATATAAGTCGCAGGACCAGCCAGACTATGAAAAAAAGTGCAACTTATAGTCTGGAAAATACGGTATGTGAATAAATTATGTGTAAATATGCACAGCCAATAAAAATCAAAATGAGCTGGTAAATCTCTTTGGTTGCCATGGAAACACTCACGGGTTCACCTGGGAGACCCCTGGGTCCGACGTCTCCATCGTCTCCCTACAAACAGAAACAAGAGTGAATAAATGCTGACAAAACTGATATAAAGTAACACAAAGTAAGATTACTGAAGTATTTTAGATGTTTTTCTGTTTCAGAGCATACCCTCTCTCCATCTTCTCCTTGAGATCCTGGTGGTCCCATTGGTCCCGGGTCACCCTGACAAGATCCAAAGCAGAAGAAATCAGAACACAGAAAACTTCATCTACTTCCAAAAAACCCAAACAGTTATTCAAGCGTCGATGATATCACATGGATACATTACACATTACCAAGAACTTACCCTGTGTCCTTTGTCACCAGGCAAACCAGGAAGACCATCAAAGCCACGATCGCCCTGAGACGAACACACAAACCATAAGGCACAACGACTACACCAAACAGAATAGATAAAAAACACAAATAATTATTATTTAGGGAATAACCTGTGTTTTTATTTGACAAATATGATAACAGAGTGAATACTTTACTTTAGATCCGGGCTCTCCGGGCATTCCCCGAGGCCCATCAGCACCAGCGCGACCCTGAGAGCACAAGCAGACAATATTAAAATGTTTTAAAACAAACTTTAAATGTAAAGTTTGTTTTTACCAACTAAAACAACCCAAATAAGATTCTGTTTGGTCGTGTTTGCAAAAAAAGATTACAGGACCAAAACGACCTTATAAAAAAAAACACAAAGAGCTATCCTGGACCTCTGAAAAAACACAAGTGTTTGTTACAAACTATAATCTCTGTGTTAGCATGTGTAGAATCTGTGATAACAACTAGGGCTGCAACAAACGATTATTTGGATAATCGATTAATCGGATGGGGTCTCGACACGATTAATCGGATTACATAGGGACATTTTTAAAAACTGCTAGGGAAACGTTATTTTTCTCTTTCCTTCACTTTATTAAACACAACATTATTAGAAAACAGTTCAATAGCAGAAAAACAACATGCCATCACCTAAATTGTCTTATAAGGTGTATAGACAGAGACCCTAAGCTACACCTATCTGTGACCTAAAATGCTTGGTCCAAGTTAAACAGCTTAAAGAGCAAGTCAACCCCTACCAGAGTCTAACTCCACTCCCACTTCATGTTTGAAAAATGCAACACATGCTGTTGCCTGGCAGACCGAGAGGGCGGAGCCGCTAACAAATACACACACACTAAGGCTCACGACAGCATTGTGACATCATAATGTACCAGTTTACATCATAGCATACTTCTTAGCCAATAGCGGTGGCAGATTTAAATTAAAATACAGTGCAGAGTTTTTACCTGACAACGGCACAACACTGCCAGTTTTAGGCAGAATATTTAAATTTTAACTAAGATGCACTGAAGTGCCAAATTATTGACGATACGTGTCTGCAGCACGATTAGACACTCGTTTATTTAGTTTATCAGCAAAAAAAAAAGTTTATTTGGGGGTGACTTGCTCTTTAAGGGCAATTCTCATCTGTTTTGTTTGATCTCATCTGTAGACATTTATTATAATTGGGGATGTCAAACAACTAATTTTTAAATGTAATTAAACATAGGCTGTGAATTAATCAAAATTAATCACTATTTCCAAAAATGACTGAAAAAAACCCCAAATAAAACAAAAGTAAATGAATGCCATCCTCCTTGTGATGATGCCCTGGGCAACTGCCATAAAGTCACATCAAGAAATGCTGCTGATCATTCCAATGATCCCAAATAGACTCACATTAGGCCACATGAAAGCAACTGAACCCAAAAATATATTAACCAGTATATAACTGCACTCTCACACAACACGCCTGCAGCAACAGTTAGGACTCCTCCCTCCCTTTTAAAAGCGTTTTCGCTTCTGAGGACATTGTGAAGCCACATGTTAGTCTGGCCCCGGTGTGATCAACCAGTTTCTGCGGGAATGTGACGGCGGAACCGGTTCGCAGCGGCGCGAGTCCAGTCCGTCCCCCCCCCCCCCGCCTATCTAATAGCGTCGCGCTTACAATTTTATAGACTTTTTTTAACGAGCTTAGAGCATGTCTAGCCTGTGTAATAATCCGGGGCTTGGGTGAATCACTTTTGAAAAGTTTTTAACTTACCCGGACACCGAGCTCTCGCCTTCCTCGCTGATGATTCTGACATGCTTGCGTTTAAGACGCTGCATCATCACCGTTGTATCCCCGTGCCATGCTAAGTCTGACCTACAAACGTTGCATGTCTTCGCCTGATTTAACTGAAAATGCTCCCAAACTTTAGAAATTTTTACTTTTTGGGGGTCTCGCTGCTTCTGCCATGTTCCTCTTACAAACACCTGCCGGCTCTGCACCGGTCTGCGCGCAACGGCGGGCAGGAGGGGAGGGGGCTTTTGGAAGAGTTGCGCAACACAACGAATCGATGACGCAATTCGTTGCCAACGCTTTTAGTAATCGATTTTCATCGAATTTATCGATTCGTTGTTGCAGCCCTAATAACAACAAATACAACAAATAAAAACTAAACAGAAACAAAGTGGCTGTTTCTACTCACTCTTCTTCCTGATTTACCCGGAGGACCCAGCAACCCCTGTGATCCTCTGGGGCCCTAAAAACAAACAAACAAACAAATGTCTGTGATTGGTGGCCGGTATAAATGATCAACACCAGTTTGGAGAAGCGACTGGTTTACCTGAGGACCAGGATCTCCACTTTCTCCCTTCAGCCCAGAGCTTCCTGGACTTCCCTACAACAAATGAAACAATAAATTTGTTGACATCCATATTTAAATGAAAACAATTACATTTGCAACACAAAACAAAATCATAAAAAAATATATGTGTCTGAAATCTTTGGGCGGGCGCAGTTCAATGAAACATAACAATAAAGAGTTCATGAATAATCTGTTGAGTAAAACATTGTTAACAATAAAAAAAAAACCTCTTGGTATAAACAACAAAACAAAGGGAAACATACCACAGGTCCAGGGCGCCCGGTGAATCCCATTGGTCCAGGAGGTCCTTTCAGTGCCATCTAAAGAAAGTTACATCTCTAAATCAATAGTGATGATGTGGCTGTTTATCAGGAATCTGTGGCAGAAATCTTATTTCTAAATCAGAAATATTTTCTGTAGGTTTTACGTTAGCAGCCTGTATTAAACTTTCAGCCCAAGTTTCAATTGTCACAAATTTAATTTGTATTTTGGTGCATTTTTCTAATTAAAATGGCTTTTTCTATGCAAGGAAAAATAAAACCTGCCCAAAATGGTATAAATCTATTTCTAACTGGGTAACAGTAAAGCATCAGACATCCCCTAAGTGCACAGTGAACAGGTGACATAAAAGTTTCTGACTGACCCTAGCCTGAGACAAGATGGCGGCTGCCTGGGCCTCCTGTGCAGAGACAACGGGACCCTTATCGCCGCCGCCCTGCCCAAAACGGAACTGCAAAGAAAGGAAGAAAAACAGAAGATATGAAGCAGATCCGTGTGTCGAATCGGAGAAAATATAACTGAACAACAAAAACTAACAAACAGAACCCAAAATGTCTTTGTAAGATGTAGCTGATTGACCAAATTGTTTGGTTGAGCGACCATAATGAAAATTCCATATATCAGTCCGAGTTAAACACAAAACGACTAAATCTAGTGAAAATGCAGAATCACACCCATGATCAAAAGGTACAAGTGACTCACAGGAAGCATGACTGAGGTTCCAGGAGGTCCAGGGACTCCATCAGCCCCAGGCAGACCAGCTTTACCAGGAGGACCCTGCAGGGTGAAGAGGATTGATGAAGCTGACAGAAGTGCAGAAAAAGCTCTAAAATAGCAGTAATTACACATTCCTCAGAACTACTGATGCACAAATCTGCCCTGAATAGAATAAAGAAGAAAATATTACTTACCCTCTCTCCAGGGTCTCCCACAGAACCAGGAGGTCCAGATGATCCAGGTGGTCCAGACGGTCCCTTGAAAAGGAAATGTAGGATTTGTATATTTTTCAGGAGAGTAGAAGTGCAACTTAAAAATACCAGTTCAAATGAGGAAAATCATAAGGTCTAATCATTTTCATAAAGACTAAATAAATATGACGGACTTACTGCAGGCCCTTCAGGCCCTGGGGGACCTTCTATTAACATGCCCTAAAATGGACAAAATAAATAAAACAACTGAGAATTAAAAAAAGAAAGAAAACAGAATGCACCTTGCAGAAATCTAATAATAGGAAATAATTTAAAATATAAACACAATAAAACAGAATACTTCTCAAATATGAGCTGAATAAATAACTGGCCAAAAACCTTGGAGTCTTTCTCCAATTTTAACTTCTAATTATTGGCTCCTTTAAAAACCCAGAATTCATATCTTATGATGGGGTAAAGTTTTCATCATTTAACAAAATCAGACCCTCTAAATAAAAAGCTCAAGAGAATTTGCGACTCACAGGCTCCAAAACAGCAGGTTCTCCCTTTTCTCCTTTCTGGCCTCTAAAGGCGGCCTGAGGGAAAACACAAGTACCCAGGAACATAGTTCTGTCATTATAAACATACTTACACAGGAAACTGCAAAGCAAAACAAAAGTCTAGTTCATTCAAATATACGACAGGCACCAAGAAAATAAACTAAAACGTTTCCTGTATTATAGTAAAAGAACAAATTTACAACCTGTGTTGTTGTGAAAGGCATGAAAGCCTTCCTTCAAACATCATTGACTATTATGTTTTCCACCGAGCGGGTCCATTACTTTTCAACACTTATTGCATGAAAAAGCTTAGCAATAACAATAAAAAGCCATACACTGAGAAAATGACATTATTGACAGTTTTACTTAAAAATGCCTTTTTTTCAGTGTATGTGAGAGCTACTGCTTACATTTATTAGTATTCCCAACAGCTTTTACTTTGGTAACAGCTAAAGCATTATTGTCATTGAAAAAGTCAGTTTCAACCACTAACACACCTTCAAGGTCTTGAATTGCATTCAAATATGTGTTCCTCTTTGACTGATTGAGCTTGCCGTAGAAACAACTGAAATTTAAAGTTGAACATTTTTAGCTTAAAAAACAAATTTTTATTTAGTAAAATTTAACTAGAGCAATATCGTATGGACATCAGGGACAGTTCAACTGGATTGGCAGACCGGGGTGGTGGTCCCTCTATTTAACCCTCCCACTGTCCTAATGGGTAGGACCCCGCGAGGAAAGTTGACCATTGAGCAGGGTTGATGGTTTATCCCTTGGGTCCATATGGCAGGGGTGAGGAGTGAGCACCACCTCACCCCCGTCACGTGGACCTCAAGGGATAAACCATCAATCCTGCCCAATGGTCAACTTTCCTCGCGAGGTCACCCATAAAGACAGTGGGAGGGTTTAAAATGGGGACCGCAGAATGTGTTCCAACTACAGAGGGAGGAGCAATATGGTTTCCATTCTGGCTTTGGAACACTGGACCGGCTCTTTACCCTTAGGGCGTCCTGGAGAGTGTGTGGGAGTTTTCCCAACTAATCTACAAGTGTTTTGTGGATTTGAAGGTGTTCGACCGCATACCTTGGGGGGGCCCTGTGGGGGGTACTTTCGGAGTATGGGGTACAAGGCCCTCTGATACGAGCTGTTAGGTCCCTGCATGACCGGTGTCAGAGCTTGGTACGCATTTCCCACAGTGTCAGGCTCGTTTTCCGTGAGAGTTGGACTCCGCCAAGGCTGCCCTTTGTCACCGATTCTGAAGCTCTTGATTAACTAGTTGATCTATGTTCCTACCCTCATCTATGGTCACAAGCTTTGGGTAGTGACCTAAAGAATGAGACTGCAGATACGAGCGGCCAAAATGAGTTATTTCCACAGTGTCTGGGCTCTCCCATTGAGATAGGGCGAGAAGCTCGGTCATCCGGAAGGGGCTCAGAGGTGTAGACCCGCTGCTCCTCCACATCACGAGTAGCCAGTTGAGGTGGTTTTATAAACTATATCCTTGACTGTTTGAATTAATATGAAGTGTGTGTTCCCTGAAGAGTCAAAGAACCTAAAGGAACGTTAATTCAAAGATCAATCAGATTGATATTTCATATTTTTATGAAACACCACATCTTATTGATCATTTAATAAATACGAAGTCAATCCACACCGCTACAACCTTCTGATAACTGGACAACCCCCTCAACCTCCTGAGCTACTGCTGCTACCTGGACTAAAACATCTGCCAGCTCCTGGACTGTCTGTGGTGCAACGTGGTGTTGGTGGATGGAGCGAGACATGATGTCCTAGATGTGTTCAACTGGACTCGGGTCTGGGAAACGGGCGGAGCAGTCTATAGCATCAATGCCTTGCTCTTGCAGAAACTGCTGACACACTTTAGCCATGGGGTCCAACATTGTCTCACATTAGGAGGAACCCAGGGCCAACCGCATCAGCATGTGGTCTCACGGCAGTCTGACCACCTCTGGTGAGCACAACTCAGGTGTGTTCCCCCGTTTTCTTATTTGAATGCATTTTTAAAGTATTGGATATCGGCAGCCACTCATAATTAAGTGACATGAACAGAAAATGTGTTGGTATCTATGAACATTTTGATAAAATATTAAATAAATGTTCCGACCTTGATGCCACGAGGGCCAGGATAGCCGATGGCTCCTTGAGGACCGTTGGGACCCTGGAGATGATCAGGAAGATGAGTTAAAAGCATAAGACAACTAAAACCACAAAGATCTACTCTAATTATTCTAAATACACACAGAAAAAAGTTTAGGATGAAATAGATTAGGTGGTTTAAATCGACACCTACCTGGTTTCCTTTAGTGCCTGATGGACCCTCCTCTCCTGGGTGACCCTGAGAACAGAAAACGGGGCTCGAGTCTCTGGACAAATAAAAATACATAAAATCATATTTAATATTTTAAAAGGGAAACTTACAGGAGGGCCGTCCGCTCCAGGCATTCCTGGTAAACCCGGTTTTCCAGTGGGACCCTAGAAAGAAGCACAAAGTGGTCATGAGCTTAATCCGAGTACCGTATTTTCCGGACTATAAGCCGCTACTTTTTCCCCACGCTTTGAACCCTGTGGCTTATAATGAGGTGCGGCTTTACTGAAGATTTTCCTTCACCTGCAGGGGGCGCTTTAGCAGAAAGTGAAACAGGTGGAAGTCAAACGTGGAAATCGAAGAAAGTGCTCATTTTAATTTAACACATGCAAGCAGCCGGCACCACGAAGAATTTTTTTCAAATCCATACCCCCTCATCATGGTAACTACACGTATGAGTTCATATGATGCCGCATTTAAGTTGAAGGCCATCGATCTGGCAGTAAAGGAGGGAAACAGTGCTGCCGCACGTAAGCTTGGCATGAATGAATCCACGGTTCGGCGCTGGAGACGGCAGCGGGAAGAACTTATTCAAGCCAGCTTTACCCGGGGATGATGACAGCAACACGGACAGCGACACTGACATCGCCACAGAAAAGGTATGTGACGAAGCTCTTCTGAGGCTGTTCAACTCCGACACTGAAGAAGAGGACTTTAATGGCTTTAGTGCGCAGGAGGAAGATGAGAGTGAATGACTTCTTCTGGTAGGCAAGTGTGTTTTATTTACTAACCAGGCATGTTTTGTGTGCAGTTTGTATTTTCTAATCATCCAGGGCTTATTAATGCTGTGTCAGCGCTGTTCTTTTCTTCTAAACATGCTAATTACGGTAATAACGTGTCAGTGCTGTTTTTATTTTATAACCATCCAGAAATATGAATGCTATCAGTGCTGTTCTCTTTTCTAAACTTGCAGGCACGTTCACCTGTGTTTAAAATTAGTTTTGTTGAATTAAAACAACAACAAAAAACCTCCGTGTAGCGTCTTTCTGTCTAATTATCTCATGTTATGGCCGTACATGCGCTGTGCGTCAGAGACCTGCATGTTGCTGCTGTGCGCTTGTACTTGAGTGCGGCGTGTGTGTGTAGAAAACATTTTTTTTTGTTGGTGCGGCTTATATTGAGGTGCGCTCTATAGTCCAGAAATTACGGTAACTATATAATCCAAGACTAATCCTAATTTCTAGCATTCCCAGACCCAGTGGATATAGAGTCTCACATTCCTTAGTGGATATCAGTATTTCTATTCTTTTTGTGAAACCAGTTTAACATCTATACTGCCGCTGGTTTGTCCAAAATGCAAGCTGAAAAATAAGGTTCATGGATATTTTAGATTTTTGTTATTAGGGCCTCTGGTTCATGAAGACAATAGTTAAACATGAGGAAGATCTGGAACTAGCAGCAGGGTCGTTGAGGATTTCACCATTTTAATGTAATTCTAGTATCTAGGACACAAATTCTGGGTTACTTACTTTCTCTCCTGGAGGTCCAATAGCTCCCTGAGGTCCTGGCATTCCCTGCAAAAACAACAAATATAAAACCAATTATGTATTCTTTACTCTAAACGTCGCAAATGCAGAAAAGACACACTGCTCTCCCCAAAGGGGATGCAGCCTGTAAATTACTATAGAGCACACTAGAGTTGGGGATTCTTCAGCAACACAGGAACAATTAAACTGCAGAAACGTCGGTCTGTCACATAAAGGCAATGATACCAGTGATGCAGCTTCTTACTCCTAAAAAACATCAAATGGCAGGTAGGTTGTCTCACCTGAGTTCCTGGAGTTCCCTGCTGGCCTGGAGGTCCGGGCTCACCTTGAGGACCCTGAGAGATAAAATAAAAAGTGACTGGAAGGTACAAAAGGAGTAGTAAAATGTATAAAATTACTGGTTGCACAGTTCAGATCCTACTTGTAAATAATCTAATTTCATGATGACATGTTAAAGTTGCTTTCCGGAGTTTTCCCGTTTCAGAAATGATGTATAATTTGTCAGAAATCCGTAAAAGTGATTGTCTCATCCTGTGATAAAATGTAAGCGATACGTCTTGTTTTTTTTTTTTTTGCTAACCACGCCCCCTGCCCTGCAGAGCGTCGTGCAATAGGAAACTGAGCGCCAACCAGAACTAACTAATAGCGTTAGACTACCGCGTACGTGCTTCAAATTTAAGGAATACCTCGGCTGATGCAGAGTTGATGAACTTTTCACGGACAAGAAAGTCTCTAAAATATAAATATGTGAGAACACAACATGACAGGAGAATAATACTCGTAAAACAACATGTTTATGCTGTTTGT